TAACAACACTTGCATTTGACTTACAAATTTTTTATGGACACTTTCATAACGCGGATGCAAGTAGGCAACGTCTCGCATATATCGCTCTAGCCATAAAATGCCGAAACCACAAGCCTACTGCACCTCTATCTCTATCGGTGGGAGGTAGAAACTGTGTACTTCCTGTCGTCAAACGCTCCAAGCACATGCATACGAGAGGACCACAATCCCCTCTGGCTTCCTGCGTTTGTTGTGGCGCGGTCTCGTCTCTGATAACTGTAACATTAAACTTCTTTGGCTTCTTGTTTCCAGAATAAGTCCAATAATTAATCGCATCCAAGAATTTAGCCAAATGAGAGCTCCATCTCTTAATAATATCTCTCAAATCAGACAATGATATGTAATTTATCATGCTGTCATATACTATTGTCTTTAGGGATGGGAGCTGAAGCTCGACGAGAAGCCAATGAGTACGTTCCAAAACAGGAATAAACACCTGCAATCATAAGTAATAATTCAAATTGCGCAGTTATTTATGAACACCTTTAAAATATTTAAACAAATAAATACTAACCTTATCGACCTCCCACCATGCAGGATAAAGTTTAGCTTGTCCATTAGCCAACACATATGATTCCTGTCGTTGATTCTTCAAGTGAACTACGTGAAAAGACGTCTGCATAATTGTATATCGCGTATTTTTTTTATTTTTCTTCAATTTCCTTACTATTAGAAGACGTGACACCCATGCATCAATATGCTGTTTTACAAAAAATGACATATATTAGTGAATTACATAAATTTAAAAAAATTAATCAAATGAAATATAAGAAGAAATATAAGACTTACCCCCCATCGAAATAGCCTTTGTCTTCAACCCCTAATAACACACCCCACCAAGACCGTTCAATCAACAAATGCATATCATCGTTGAGTTTGTATATGTCAGCGTAAAACCCTTGGCTCCGCTCATGTAGATAAAAATCAACTGTGGACTTAGCCCAAAGGGTATTATCCAGAATTGTTTCCGGTAGTTGTTTCCTCTCCACTTCATCTGCCGGAATGGTACTGGCCGGTAACTTATACGAAAGCCAACAGTCATCCATCATGTCCGGCACGTGAGGGGGTTTCTTGATAATTCGATATATTACGCTGTGTGAATCGAGCTCTAGAATGTTGGGAGGGACCTCTTCAACGATGACAGAGGCCTCTTGAACGGTGGGAGGGGACTCTTAAGGGATGATAGGGGCCTCTTGAACGATAGGAGAGGCCTCTTGAACGATGACATGTGAGTCGGGCTTCTTCTTACGGAGTCTTCGCACTATTGGGGTGAACGGAGGCGTAATGGCACGTGCACGTCGTCTGATGCGTGAACCCCGTCGTGCAAGAAAAACCCGACGTAAAGCATCCACCTTATCGGGCCGCTAAAAATAATTATTAATACATAAATCAGTAAATAAACAGACATGATATTAAATAGTGAAAACAAAGACAAATATGTTTCAAACTTGCACGGTATTCACCCAAGTCATTATTCTATCATAGTTCACAAAATGCATCAGATAACATTCCGGAAGTAAGCACTTATAAACATTTAAAAGGACAACATATAGGTTTAGTGCATGTTCAAGGACAACATAAAGAGTAGTAGTTTATTCTTGAAACTTAAATTTGCAACACTGTGAAGTTAGTATTTGTCTTTGTCTTTTGGTTGAAGTAATCCAATCCATTCAAGTTTCAATTTGCAGAAGAAGAATAGTTTCTGAAACTTAAAATCGCAACACAAAACTTAAATCGCAACGCGAAAATGACTATCGCAACGCGGAAATGAATATCGCAACGCGAATTTGACTATCGCAATGAGATAATCACAATGCGAAATAAAAATCGCAACGCGAAAACTAAATTCGCGTTGCGATAGTCATTTTCGCATTGCGATTTTCACGTTGCGATTTTTATTTCGCATTGCGATTATCCCGTTGCGATAGTCATTTTCACGTTGCGATTTAAATTTCGTGTTGCGACTATTCTTCTTCTGCAAATTGAAACTTGAATGAATTGCATTACTTCAACCAAAAGACAAAACAAAGACAAATACTAACTTCACAGGGTTATTTTAGAACTGTTTAGCAGTATTGGCAGCAACCGAATGAATTTACTAAGCAATCTAAGTAAAATGGTTAATCTAAGTGAAATTACGAGTAAATCAAGTTAAATATGAAAGATCTTAAACTTACCTCGTTGCGTAGAGTATGAACCTCATTCTGCAACGATGCTACCATCTCACGTAGAGCCGCTACCTCACCACGTAAAGTAGAAACCTCGTCACGCCATGCACCATTGTCATCGCATAAAGTACCGATCTCCTCACGCAAGGCATTGACCTCATCACGTAACTCCCCTAACTCATCCCGTGGAGGTGGAGAACAGGGAGATAAATGTCGTGGCATCTTTGCCGGTCGCCTATCATGAGGTGGTGGTGGAGAAAAGGCTCGATGATGTGACGAAATAGGTGATGGCTCTCGTTGTAGAGGTATATAATGTGGTCGATCAGGTGATGGCTTTGGGTGAGGTGATGGCTCTCGAAGTGGAGGCTGCTCATCATCCGCGCCATCAAAAAAACGCTTACTAGCTTGCCACCAATCAATGGCAAGCTCAGTCTCCGTGGGTGTCAGCCTCTGTAATGGAGTGTTGGCCTCCTAACAATATAAAAGCTCAAACAAAGTTAAACGTGTACTAGTAATAACTTGTTTATATATATGGTAGTATTTGTGCTAACTTACATCATTTATTGTCGTATACCGTAGTAACTCTTCCCAAATCAACAGCCGCCGTTTCCTCTTCCAGGAAATAGCTCTAGGAATATCATTTGAAGTTTTTAATACATATGTCTGCATGTCGGGAAAAGCCTCAAATATCCAAATCTACAAAAACAATATAATACACAAACATTAGTAATTGTTAAATAATTAATTATAATTTTGGAAACATTATATAGAAATTCTTACCTTAAAGGCCCAAATAAAACCCGACAAAGTGTATTTGGAACCATCGCCACGCAAACTTTTGCGGTCATCAAAGGCAGACGACAACTTATTCCAGGTAGCTTTCCATAGATACGAACCCTACGGAAACAGGTTCCATGCATTTAGGTCCTCTTCCAATAATATTAGGTCCTTAGGAATAGGTTGTCTGGCCTCTCTGCCTAAAAAGTCGGCATGCAAAAGTATTAAAAGGCATACTCGGACAACATCGACGTCATCCATCCGAGTAAAACCATCTTTCTTATTCAATAATCTCGTCAAGTCGTCGACGTGTAAATTCGGCTTCTCCATTGACAGCTCAGGAAAAACCCGGGATAACCATGATGGGTGGGTAATATGACTAGTGTATCGACCTACATCATCGTGTCCGAAGCGTAGACCAGTGATTAAGCAAAACTCCTCCCGCCCAAAACACGTATACGCCGGTGGAAAATGAAACCATATCTCTTCATTACCACGTTTTATACTCTCGGGTAGATCGCTAGTCATGGTCTGAAGCCACAAATGGGTCAACATAGCATCTCCACCCGGATGTTGTACTTTCAGCCATGGCCCGAAGCAAGTATCCTCAAACAATATTCTTTGTACAGGTGAAAGCTTCGACGCAATTGTAGTGACTAGGCTTATTTTATTACTTAAGGTCAATTGAGCCGAAAAAAAGTTCTACAAAAACAGTATGTTTATACCAAGTTAGATTAAAAACTACACTGTGAAGATATACCAAAAACAATAATAAACATAACGAGTAGTAGTTTATTCTTCAAACTTAAATTTACAACACTGTGAATTCCGTATTTGTCTTTGTTTTTTGGTTGAAGTAATGCAATTCATTCAAGTTTCAATTTGCAGAAGAATAATAGTTTCTGAAACTTAAAATCGCAACACGAAAAATGACTATCGCAACGTGAATTTGACTATCGCAACGAGAAATGAAAATCGCAACACGAAAATTACTATCAACACGAAAATTACTATCGCAACGCGAATTTGACTATCGTTGCGATTTTCATTTCGCGTTGCGATCCTCGGTTTCAAATAGTCATTGTCTAAAATTGAAACTTGAATGAATTGCATTACTTCAACCAAAAGACAAAACAAAGACAAATACTAACTTTACAGAGTTAAAGACTAAACAGTTTAGCAGTATTGGCAGCAATCGAATGAATTTAATAAGCAATCTAAGTGAAATGGTTAATCTATTATTGAAATTACCAGTAAACTTATCATCAATTTCAATATGAAAAACCTAATAATAATGCAAAAATTTCAAAATAAAAATAATTAAAAAAACTAACCCTCGGTGGTTGATTTGGTTGATTTTCCATTTCTGATCGTGAATGATTGTGAGGGTGGCTCTGAGAGATGGAGATAGACGGATTTCGCCAGAGATGGGGACGGATTTCGTCGGAGATGGGGATGGATTTCGTCGGAGATGGGGACGGATGTCACCGTAGAGAGTGAGAATGGAGATGGAACTGAGTTGTGATTTAGGGTTTTAGGTTAAGAGTTGCGATTACGGGATGTAATAATATTCGTGTTTGGAATTTGAAAATAAAATACGTGTTGCGATACTAATGGCGCTTTGAAAATCGTATTGCGATTTTGTATTATCTCGTTGCGATAGTCAGAATCGCGTTGCGATTGTCAGAATCGCGTTGCGATTATGTATTATCGCGTTGCGATTATGTATTATCGCGTTGCGATAGTCAGAATTTACATATTCGCATTGCGATTTTACAAAATCACAACGCGAATTTGGAAAATCGCAATGTGATAGTCAAAATCGCGTTGCGAATCTGGAAACTGATTTGCGATACTGGAGATCGCATTGCGATTTTGTTGGTCATTTTGGCAAATCAAAAAAAAGTTGGTCAAAATCGTATATTATAAGGTATTTTCGGTCACTGAGATTATTTTCTCTTTAAAAAAAAAACTATATACGTTGGTTTTGGTTGCTTGTGAATTGATATATACTTACATGGGAAGCCCTTGATAATGGATTGGATGGAACTACGCATGCCGAAGGACACTCTCTTACATTTGTTCCCATGATTTTCTCTTCTGTATAATCTAACAGTTATTAACCACAATTGCCTAAAGGAGTCAAAGAAACAAAAAATCGAAGAGTAGATTCATAAAGTTGCGAAGAAAAAATACCCGAGCACTGGCTTTTATGATCTTGTGGTGAAACTTCAATCAACTTTTCATCACCTACCAATGTTCAAATGAGCAATGTTCAAATCATCACTTCTCATCAGTCATTAACAAGCCTTTTCTAATGAGGGTGCAATTTCTCATACTATTTCATCCATAATATATATACATGGGGAGATCCTAGCACATTTTCATTTAATAACTAGGAGGCTGTTAGACACAATCACGAGAAAGCTATTGACTTATTGTTTAATAATATTTTCGCAAGGAATGCAATAATTGTCCAGTTATGGTTGCTCAGTTAGACTGCCAACTGAAAGGTCTTATTGGAGCACAGCTCCTCCTACCAATGAAAGTAATGGAGCACATTTCACGCACATGTTAATAAATTACATGATTAATGAAAAGGGGGAAAACGATGAAAAAATATATTACTTAGTTGTTGGCCTTCATTGTGTATGGTTTCTTCAAGTAGATATCCATCTTCTATCAATTGTGTTATCACATCTTTATCGTTATCGATAGGGGAAAAGATGCGCATCAGATAATCTGGTTGATTTCCCCACTCTGTCTCACTCCAATTCATGTCCTCCCACCACTGACATTCTCCTTTGATTATCTTCAAAGTTTTGCTTGACAATTCCACTTTTGATATACTTGTAAGCTTCGGGATTCTAACTTTGGTGCTATCAATAGGCTATTTGAAATGCTGACCAGTTCAGGAAGGTAAAGAAGAAGCACTCTTTTCAAACTTGGCAGAAATATTTTATCTAATATCACTGGCTTGACGGCTGAGTGACTTATAAGGCTTGTGACTAGGGGGCAGTCGTCAAGAATTATCCCCTCCAAGTTGACAAAATTTTCAAGCAAAGTATAACCGAAAATTTTACTCAGCTGGGGGCATGTATGCTTCGCTAGGAATTTCAACTTGGACATACATTCAAAACGATTTGGTCCTCTCCAAATACTCTGCAAATTCTCCGTGTAATAAATGCTCAAATACTAGGGAATCAAGCACACATTGTACAGAACCAGGGTGAGATTCAGATTGATCATCTTCATTTCTTTCACAATGCATATTTCCATCATTAAGTGTTTCCATTTCTTTACATTCTGCCAACAAGCAAAATTTTAGCCCCTTCATATTCTCGATTCTGAATTCAGATAGCGTCACAGCGGTTGCATGGAGGTCCAGGAAAAATGAAGTAGAATATTTCAGTACCCCTTTTATTTCAATCGGGATGTTTTCGCCATTCAAAACTTCAAGCATTTGTCCCAATGATGTATTCTCTAAAAGCTGGAATTTTGGCAGGTACAAGCTAAGAGTTTTCAATGCTTTTGAGTTGCATGCTTCCTTCACAACAGCTTCCACAGAATCATCCCACCTCTTGTCTGCAGGATCCACATCAATTCTTAACTCAGAAAGTTGTGAGAGAGTTGATATTGTCTTAGGGTGAATCAAAATGTTGACGTCGGCTTCTTTTTTCCAGATAAATGATAGAATGAAACTTTCAGCTTTCTTAACTTGAGTAGTTTTCCGTCTCAATAGGTAAATTGATGATCTGAGTCTCGTCAAGATCAAGCTCCTCAAGATTTTTGAGTTTCCCAACTTGAGGTGATAGTTCCATGAAGAGATCACAACTCTGTAACAAGAGTTTTTTAGTGCAACCAACTTGGGGAGAGATTTGGCAAAGATTTGTTGCTAGTACGAGACAAATCCAATTCTTGGATAAGGGCCATGCGCTGAAAGAATAGGGGAGGAATATCTGTCAGCTCATAATTCCCTTGCAAATATCAGTGAAGAACAGTTTGGACATCTTGGCAACTCAGACACATTATTTTTATCATCCGTTAAATGAATCTCTTTTGTGCCCATACTTCCTTTCATAGCTCAGTCAAGCTTGACCCGCTTTCCTTAGGAACAGACTGGTGCATTTTGGCTGAAATGCGAAGCATGATTCTACAAAAGTTTACTGGTTGATTCAGAAGGATGCTGCCTCAAAGTACTTTGTAAAGATCAATTACCATCTGAATAAAAGAAAATAAAACCCTTCATTATGCATATTGAAAAAAATAATCTTTGAGGAATTGAGAAATTAAATAAGTTAAGAAACTCTCCGGGCTTATTCATCAAATACTTCACGGGAAGACAATAAAAGACCTTTGATAATTTGTTCTATGCTTCAAAAAAAAGTTTTGGAACTTTTGTACTGCTTATCGGCTAGTTTTCAGGTGTCTGCTAAAAGCAAGTGATCATCATCCCTCATCCGCAAACTTCAGGCAGAAAGCAATACAAAGCTTTGCCTGTGGAGTAGGGTTGCACATAATTCGGATTTCAATCCGATCCGGATCGGTTTTTATCCGATCCGGTTTTTTCCCATAGAAACAAAACCGGTTTATAAAATAACCGGTTCGGTTTCTAACCGGTTTGGAGGGCCGGATATCCTAACCGGTGTAACCGGTTTCGGTTTTAAAAAAACCGGTTTTTTTAAAAAACCGGTTATAAAAAACCGATTTTAATATTCCAGATTGCTCATAGGGAACCGATTCCCCCCAATGGGGTACCGATTCCTCATTGAATGGTTTGGCTCCGAGATTTCCAGAATGCTCGGAGGGAACCGATTCCCCCATAGGGGTACCGATTCCCCCCTATTCAACGGTCGAAATATTTGAATTTTACACTTAGGGAACCGATTCCCTATGAGAGGGTACCGATTCCCCCACGCTCTAAGCATTTTTATTAAATGTTTTCACACTTAAACGGCTATATTATCTTCATTAATTATCACTAACGTTCAGAAGTGATTCAAGGTGTATTTAAGCAAGCTTAGAAGTCATTGATCAAAGACAAGAAACATCAAGCAACTAGAATCAAGAGAGAATCAAAGAGAAAGCATCAAACCTCAAGTTCGATAAATTCAAATACTTAATTGAAATACTTAATTAACTCAACATAATTGAAATACTTAAATACTTCCAAGTTTGATAAATTCAAATACTTAAAAACTTCCAAGTTCGATAAATTCAAATACTTAAAAACTTCAAGTTCGATAATTGAAACAAAGTTTACGATAATTGAAATAAAGTTATAAAATAAACTACATTGCCATCTCTTCTTCATCATCTTCGCCTTCTTCGTTTGGAGGGGATATTCCAAGTTCGACTTCTTCAATGTGTAAGTTGCTTCCAAATCGGCATCAATTGCATCTTCTAGGGTGGTGATATGTTGCTTACGAGCCGCTCCATCCAAATAATCCTTTAAACAAATGCATACTTCCACCGACTCGGGACTTAGTCTTGATCTCCGTTGCGATATAACCCTGCCACTAACAGAAAAAGCGGATTCCGAAGCTACCGTAGAAGCTTGGACGGTTAGTAAATCACGGGCCATGGCGGCTAGAATCGGAAATTGTGCTTCCTTTTCTTTCCACCAAGCCAAAATATCCAAACTTTCAAACTCTTCAAATGTCATTTTTGATAGAAAATCGCATGACATATAATTTCCCAACTCGCTACTTGGGGTGGTAGTACGTGATCGTTTGGATTGGGAATTTACAAGAGTGTTAAAAAGATTCAAATTTATGTTACTTGGACGTCTACTAGATGATTCCGCATTCATTCTCATTTGATCGTGTATTACACTACTTGATCCATATTTATTTAAATAAATTGCAAACATGTCTCGAAAACATTTGTTAAAATAATTTATTTGGTTTTGGACAAAGTTGGGTTCATCATCGGTTAGATTAAAAGCAAACGCAATTTGTTCAATTAGTGTTTCAACCCCACCAACATTTAACGTTGGGTTTAAAGCGGCGGCACAAGTAAAAATGGGGGGAATCTCCTTAAAATATTTTAAAAGTTTTTCCTTCATTGCAAAGCCAATTTCTTGAAAAACTTCGGTTTCAAATTCAAAGTCATTTAGTCGGGTAGCCAACAAAAATATTTGATTAAGAACCAACGGGCTAGTAGGGTAATAAACACCGGATAAAAAAGTTGTTGCATTTTTAAAAACCTCAAGCAAATCGGTTATTTTGGCTATAGTTTCCCAACTCGAATCCGGATAAATGTTTGGGACATGACCCCTCTCGAAAAGCCGATCGTGAAATGTTTGCAATGTTTCCCTTTGCCTTAAGGCAGTATGCATCATCATCCAAGTTGAGTTCCAACGAGTTGGACAATCCAAATTAGGACCCAAAACTTTTTATTAACAGACTTACAAAATCGTTTATAATCATTTAGTCTTTTGTTGTTGTTACAAAGAATCGATTTTATCATTGTTTTAAATTCTAATCTAATTGGCTCAATAACCTCCAAACCGGCTTGCACGGATAAATTAATTATGTGTGCAACGCAACGGGTATGAAAAAACGCACCGTCTAAAATCGGTGAAAGTAATATTTTCAATCTTGGAACCGCGTTTGTATTATTCGATGCATTATCAAAAGATATAGAAAAAACTTTATTTTCTAATTTATAAAGACAAATTACCCGTTTTAAAAGTGTAAATAAATTAGCACCGGTATGCGGCTCACCGAATAATTCAAACGCGATTGTTCTTTTCATCATTTGCCAATTATCTTGATCTAACCAATGTGACGTAACGGCTAAAAAAGAATTTCCGGTATTATGAGGGGAACTCCAAACGTCACATGTAAGCGACACACCATAACGGTGTTCTTGGAATCCTAAAATCATTTTTTCCCTCGCCGTACGCCACATTTTTATAGCATCTCTTCTAAGGGTAGTACGACTTACTTGAGTATAACGTGGTTGCATTAGTTGTTGAATTGTTGTCGTGAAATCTTCATCATCAAAGTGGTCGAACGGCAATGCTTTTGTAATCACGAACTTTGTAAACGCTTCTCGTAATTTTTCGTTGTCGTAAACAAAAACACCACCTTGCGGTGTAAGATTCGATTGACTAGGATCCGATCTTGAGCGAAGTGCCTTGCATGATTTTGTCAAATGGTTCTTCAACGTTGTGTTTCCTTCCGATGCAAGAAACTTTAGACAAAGTTTACAACGCGCCCTCCTCGAGCCATTTGACATCTCACATAAATCGTAGTGATCCCAAATATCTTTGTTTCGAGTGTGTTCGATCACTCTCACGACTTCAAGGTTTCCCCCGACGGAAGATTCAGCAGTGTTACTCATGATGAATAAAAAATTACAAAACTAAGATTTGAGAGATGTTTAAGTGTTGTGTAATAAGATTTGAGAAAGTTGTAATCAACCAAATACATCCCCAACCTATTTATACATGTTTAGGGTGGTAAAATGGTAATTTTTTAAAGAAAAAAACGGTCAAAAACGCTCACAAACGGCTATATTAACGGCTAGTTTTTTAAACCCAGACCGGTTTTTTTTTCGGATAAAAACCGGTTTTTTAACGGTTTTTTTCAAACCGGTTTTTTATCCGGTAAAAAAACCGGTCTAGGTTTTTTTTCTCCAAACCGGTTAAAATAACCGGTTTAAAAAAATCCGATCCGGTTAAAAAAAAACCGGTTTTTCCCAAAACCGGTTTCGGATATTTTTTTCGGATATTCGGATATTCGGATTTTTTGTGCACCCCTACTGTGGAGGTGTTGCCATCTCTGTATAATCTATCCCATCTCCCCCTTATTTTTTGATAGTATTTCTGTCCCCTTCAGCTTAATTTTGATATCCAATTGATTAACATGATTTTGGATTCCATATGTTATTATTTATGTTTAACAAATGCAAAAACAACACGATAAGTACGATTTAATAGTATTTAATTCTATTTGCCAAAGAATATTTAAAATTATTTATTCACGAGAATAATTAAAAATAAAAAAAAAATAAACACATGATTTAAGGTTATGATGATTCAAGATTCAAAACAGATAGTAACCTTGAGCAACGATAAAGATAATCCATTCAAACCTATCACAAACATAGAAATCAAAACCATAGCTTACCAAGTCACGAATAATAAATGGATGAGAACAGAGGAAAGAAAAAAATAGGTAAACTGACCTGCAAATTTGTTTGACTAGAGGTAGAAGAAGCCAATGACTATGAGTAGTTGATGTTAGTGGGTTCGGTATTTTATTGACCTTGTAGAAACAAGTCAACCCATGCAATTTTGATAGAACTTCAATCATATATGATATCTCACAATTATTACGAAATCACCACTCCAAAATATTACAAAAAAGTCTAGTCTTTATTATTTACTTATCCATTTGACTTGAGTACCAATCCCACAGCGAAGCCATGTTGTCCTGCACCTCAGGTTGAGAGTGACAGTGCACCCTTTCGTAAGTTACAATCGATATAGACGATTCATCTGTGGCTCGCTTCTCGTGTTTCCTCACGGGCACCCTTCCGCAGGAGTCATGTTCTTCTGCACCATTGGTTGAGGGTGGTGGTGCTCCTTTTCGTAAGTTATGGTGGACATAGACAACTCATCCGTGGCTCGCACCTCGTGTTTCCTCACAGGACACCCTTCAGCAGGAGCATTGTTCTTCTGCACCGTGAGTTGAGGGTGGAAGTGCTCCCCTTCGTAAATTAAGATCAGCATAGATGGATCTTTTGGGTCTCGCTCCACTTGTTTCTTCGCAGGACACCCTCTTGAGGAACTGCACTTGTAATAACCCCTGTATATAAAAGTCACAGAAACTCAAATCACCACTTATCCTATAAATCTATGAAGCGTCATCTGGTTCGATGATTTGGTGATAAAAGAGGCTTGAAAAGATCATCAGGAATACAGTAGTTACCGTGGGTATGGTGAGCCCTTGATCGGCTTTTGCCCGTACTTCCTCCAAGAATACTCATCAGCAGTCACTCCACTGATCGCTGGAACTCTGATCACTTTATTAATTCTCGGTTTCCTGAAATATTAAATAAAAAGCTCAAAATAGGTTTTGCTGATTCCTAAGTAACTCTACTCGACTTATCCTGCTTTCATGACTCGCATAGTGAACCTAAATTATTCAAACTTCGGAAAAGAAGCTGACTGCTAAATACGCCATAAAGATTTTAAACGCCAGGGAAATTGTGGCATTACCTCCTCTTGAAATGAGAGCATGGTACTCGTTTTCCAGCTGAAACAGGAGGCGCTAGTGTCAAGAATAGAGATGGATCTTGCTTATTGTTTGAACCAATACTCTCCTCAGGTTTGACATATGGCATAAACGAAGAGTTCGACGACATGCTGAAGCTTTCCTCTGTAAACTCCAACTCAGTATTTCTACAGTTGGAGCTAAACAAATTAGGTTTCGTAAAGTCTCGAGTCAGACTCTGTGGTTGTGAAGGAACAAAAGTAGCAGGAGACACAATTGGAGCTTCGACAAGCACCGGAGTTCGAGTTAGAGCCTTGCGGGAACATGTATCAGTTAGAGAAGAAGAGGACGATGAAGTGGAATTCATGCACGTAATTTGCTTCTCTTCGCTTGAGGACTCACTAAGACAGAAAAAGCAAGATAGATGACACGAGAACTTGAATCACAAATTATTTGATAAAAGAGGTTCCAATATGGAAATAAAAGAACTAATTTTATGTTGGCCTTGACGCCCTTCCTGTTTTGAAACTTCAAATTTTCGTCTGTTAAATACCATATACAAAGTTAAATGCTCACTGCCAAAATAATTAACAGTTTACTTGCATTTTTGTTATAGCAGGATAGATGACATGACATGAGGGTTTGAATCATAGTTTTTGTCTATTAATAATATTTGTGCTATTTGTTGCGGAGCTTGCATACACATTAGTTTAATTTCACACATGGTAATATTAGACTATGTTTAAAACGTAAAATAAAATGATATATTACCTTCTTGTTGGCCTTCGTTTTCTACGGGTAGAAGGTTGAGCAATTGGGAAATCTCATCTTCCTCATTATCTACAAGGGAAAGGGATACACATCAGATAATAAGGCAAATTTTCACACACTGTTCTGTTTCCATTATAACCAAAAAACGGAAAAAGAGAAAAAGTTGTTCTATCCTCAATTTTATTTATGGATAGAAAAGCATAAAACAATAAGATCATAAGAATACAAAGGAAAGATACATGATTCCACTTTGATTGGTTATATCCATGGGGAAAGAGTCCAAACAATGAAAGGAAGGCTTTGATCTCATTTATTATGCTACTTGCTTGGAGTGAAAATATGCATAAAAAATTATCAATAAGATGAAGTGTGTTTGCCAAGCTTAATATGATCTGGGGGCTCTTTCTTTACAGTTTGTATGGTTCATACTTAGGGTTGGTTTGTTTGACTTCATAAAACAATAAGATCATAAGAATACAAAGGAAAGATACATGATTCCACTTTGAATGGTTATATCCATGGGGAAAGAGTCCAAACAATGAAAGGAAGGCTTTGATCTCATTTATTATGCTACTTGCTTGGAGTGAAAATATGCATAAAAAATTATCAATAAGATGAAGTGTGTTTGCCAAAGCTTAATATGATCTGGGGGCTCTTTCTTTACAGTTTGTATGGTTCATACTTAGGGTTGGTTTGTTTGACTGAAAACAATTTCCAAAAGATGTTTTCCGTAAAATGAATTACATCTTCTTGAAAACATATTCTGGAAAATGTTTTACAATGTTTGGAAGATGTTATGTAAATCATTTTCCACTAGTTGTTAAATTTTCTAGAAATTATTTATTACAAATATCAAATACAATAAATAATAATATTTATTATAATAAGTTAATATTATTATTTTTAAAATATTAAAATAATTTATTTGATATTATTTATGTCAATATTATTACTAAAATATTATTTCTACAACTTTATAAATAAAAATATGAAGACTAGTATATTCTATTGAAAAACAAAATATCAAAACATGCCCTACAAGCACATACCTTCATCTTCAAACTTATCCCAATCTTCATCCCAATCAACTGCACCTTCGTGGATTCCAGTTTGCCAGCCTAAGAAAAGTTGACAATAAAGTGAAAAATCTTTATTAAAAAGATGAGAGAGAGATTTAGAGAAGTAGAGAGAAAAAAGGCGAAAGGCATGTTAGTTTCCAATGAGATTTGGACGGTGTTTGTGGATAATCTTAGTCGAAGAGTGTAAAGACGTGTGTTAAGGGAAATGTTCTTAGTTCATGGTCCTGTTCAGAGAGTTTTCATTCCCAAATAAACAAGGAATCCAAAATACAAATTGTCCACTTTTGCTTTTGTTCAGTTTGGGAGTGAGATTGGTTTGAAAACGGCAGTAGACAAACTAAATGGTTCATCGATAGATGGGAGGAGGATTACAGTTGGAGCTGCAAGATATAAGGAATCTCGTTCAAGGGTATAGCGTAATAATAGCTCTTTGAAGAAAGCTTCATGTCCGATTACTGCAGAAACATCTAACTCAAAAGAGATAGATAATACTAACAGAAGTGTAAGGGATGATAGAACTTATAAAGATACTTTGTTGTTGAACAGGATGTCGAGAAGTGCACTGGGGAATAGGGAGTTATCACCTGTAGGTCATCACAGGGGGAAAGATAAGAAAAATATTTTGGAAATGTACATTCCATCTGAGAGCTCGAGCTAGGTTAAAAGATCATTAACGGGGATTATTAAACATTCATTTGAGCTAGAGTTTGTTCAGAAGGCTTTAGTTATGACGTCCAGATTGCTAGATGGGGATATGTCTGGAATTCTTGTGTAATAGTTTTTAAATCATCCGAGGAGATGTCGGAGGTATGGATGAAGAAGAAAGATGAATTCGAATTCTGGTTTGATCGTTTAGAACCATTACTGAATGAAGAAGGAGTTCCAATGGCTTTTTGCCTGGTTGAGCTATTTGGGATTCGTCTTTTATGCTGGAATGATCTTTTTTTTGGAACGTATAACAGGGAGATGGGGAAGGGTGGTAGATATTCATGATACCACTAAACACAGGGAAGATCTTACAAAGGCGAGAATTTTAATTAGGGTGGCTAGCCCTTTTGATGTTCCGGAGGTGATTACTCTTGGATTATATGGAAGATCCTTCAAAGTCAGCATTAATATTGGTTCGGCGTATAAGTCTTCAAATTCTTTTTCCAGCAAACCTCCGGTGGTTGGTTCTAATGAGGGACAGTTTGGAGTATTCATGTCTGAGAAGGAAGAAGGAAGAAGTCAGGGAGTGGTCAGAAAGCGAGGAAGGTTCAGCAAGATCAGCAAAGGAAAATCGTCAAAATGGTTGACAAGTGGATTGAACAGGGAACTGCTCTCGGGTTTGGTGGAGTTGGTGGGGAATATCTGTAATACCCCAAAAATTTAGATAATGACCAAAATGAAAATTTCGAAAGTTTGATGGTCAAATTAGAAAATTGGGAAAAGTTTAAGTAATTAAGTGATAAATTTCTTAAAAAGGAATTTTATTCCATAAATAGATAGTTTACTCTTGAGAGGGGTTTTTAGAGATCATATTTTTTTTGAATTTGGAATTTAGTAAAGAAAAAAATTAGAAAGGGTTAAAGAGGTAAGGAATTGGTAATTCGGATCGAATTGGAATTTTACAAAATTTTGAAGGATGTTATAAAATGGTTGGAACTATTATTTTAATATTTTAGATCAGAGAAATTTGGTTTAGAAATGTGCAATTTTTCAGATTTAACCGAAACAATGGAATTTAGTGACTAAAACACAAGTTTTGAAAATTTCAGGGGAAATTTCGTAAGTCAAAGTCAAATTAATTCATCTTTGACTTTAGAAGATGATAAGGATGAGGTGTATTGGTTTTATGGTGAATAAGAAGATTCATTAAGGGTGTTTTGGTCTTATATCAATTAAATGAATATTTTATTCATTTATAGTGGAATTAAAAGTAAATTAATATGAAATGCACCCAACATTTCATCCAAATTTCTCATCTTCTTCTCCAAGCTACGTGGCGTTTCTTCAAAGGTGAGACAAAGCTTTAATTCAATTTTTAAGCAATCCCCTTTGGATTTTGAGTATACTGTAAAAGAGAAAATTGTTATATGTGAAAAACGCTATCATTTGGTACCAATATTGCATGATAATCTTGTTGGTGTTCAAAGATCCTAAATTCTACAATTTGTGTTCATATAAGGGATCATGAAATTGCTGATGGATCTTGATGTTTGTGAGGTAGTAGATTCATATTCAAGCATGTATAATGATTAGAACATTTTTAATCTTTCTAAAACTTGTTCTTTAAGTTTCGACTATGGATTGTTTGGGTGAGAAAAATTATGGAAAAATTATATAAGGGTTGGAAATGATGAAGGAAAAATTTTACAAGCCTTAGAAAATTTGGGGACTATTTTGTAATTTTTGAAAAGTTGGGGATCAATTCGTTAATTTTGGAAAAATGATGGGTTGTTGTGTAAGTGTTATATAATTGATGTACTATACTGGAAATTGTTGTTTGGGAATTAAAATGAGTGTTTAGATGCGAAATATGACTATTTTGGAAGTTTGAAAAGATTAGTGATTTAAATATAACATTTACATAGTTGGGTACTTAAATGTAATTATGCCTTGGTAAAAGTATTTGAATGATAATTAATTCAATGCTGGAATTTTTGGTATTAAAAATCTAAGTGATAAAATGGTGAAGGACCATTTTGTATAAATTGGAAAAATTTGTTCCAATGTTAAAAGGAATTATTAAGAGTTAAAGTATTGGGTGGTGAATAGTTTCAAGTATATTATAGAGTTGTTATGGGATACGTTTATGTTAGTATAATACTAACATATGTATCGTTATGAATTTGTGATTTATACAGATTGTGATTGATTTGTGATCGAAGCAAATCAAATATAAAAGGGCTTATTGTGGACAATAGTGAGGCACATATATTTTGAAAGATAAAAAGTGTCAAGGTGAGTGCAATACATGCATGAAATTATACATGGATGTTTTATACATCATCATGAAGACTTGCGATAAGTCGACCTTGTTTATATCAACATGATATTATGTCATTTTTATAACTTTGTTATGACATTGATATGTCATATTGTGAAATTATAATGCACTGATCATGAATAATGTGATATATTTTACCATGAATGGTATTTCGGGTATGAACTGCCCAATGTTAAATGGTATTAATATACTTTGACATGGATGGATCAAATAAAACCAGACTATATGCCCAAGTATGTTATTGAGGATCAATGGTATTAATGACATGCCATAAAGTCTAGCAGATACATATTAGGTAGCACTAGAGCGTCTAGAGAAGGCACATAGTGCAGGCCTCAAAGTGTTTAACGAAGACACAGTACAAAACACTACGGTGTACAAGGTGGGTAAAACCCGACCTCAGCACTACGGTGCATTATTAGGTGAGCAAAGCTCGAACTCAGCACTTCGGTGCAACATTTGACTCCTATACCGGGTTCCTCATACAGTTGTACTTTGGGTTATGATTTATTGGTTAATGAATGATAACCATGAAAATAAGCTTACAAGCTTATGAAATAATGGCAAGTATATTGATAAAATAAGTTTACGAGCTTATGGGATAAATGGTAAGTATATTGGTAAAATAAGCTTATGAGCTTATAAAATAAATGGTAAGTATATGGTAAAATATTGGATATGCATGTAACATGATTTTATAGCATTTGTTTTTGACATTGAAATTCATGCATGAATTGTATTGCACTGTTTATTGTTTAAATTGCCTCACTAAGTATATACTTAGCGTGTGATGATTTTCACGCGTAGGTAAAAAGTCAGTAGTGAAATAAAGAGTTCAAAGTGACATCAAGCATCAAGGAGTATATTTCAATATCAATAAGACATCATATACTGTGTTAGTGACATGTAATTATTAATGTTCTATTTGGTTTGTTGAACTATGTTTAGATATAACAATTTATGGAAAAAATGTGTTTTTATGAATAGTAATGAACAATAATGAACAATACCCTGCTACAGTAATGAACATTACCAACATTAAAAATTTCCAGAATGTCACGGGGATACCGATACCCTGCTACAGGTACCGATACCATCACTGTTCACGGTACTATTCATAATAAAAAAATCTTTTTTCTTAAATTTGTTATAACGAAACATAATTCATATGATATGATATTTTTATAATACCATTTGATACTTTAAAAAAATAAAATTTAAATCACTTTTGAATTGGAAATGGTTTAGAAATTCAAGTGACATCTATAATTTGTAGAGGTATAATTATATGGGTTATAGGTGTTACATTTATAAACATAATTCATATGATATGATATTTTTATAATATCATTTGATACTTTAAGAAAATAAATTTTAAATCACTTTTGAATTGGAAAAGGTTTTAGAAATTCAGGTGACATCTATAATCTGTATAGGAATAATTATACGGGTTATGGGTGTTACAATATCAGTTTCCAAGGTTTTCCAAAGATGGAAATGCATTAAAAGAGGGCAGTCAGAATTTCAGAAGGTTGGGAGTATCAAAGTGGGGGAGTTTACCAGTTTGAGATTTAGAAATTTAAAAATTCCGGCTGATGGGTCACAGACCCAATCAGAGGATGATGGGCATTCTGGGCTTAATGTTTCAAAAATAATTCCTACTGGTCTAGCAATTAAAATTGATAAGTTTGGGAAAATGATTCATAACCAGAATTCGGTTGAGTATGGCAATAATAATAAAGAAGAAGATGGGAAGAGGTCAGATTCAGAGAAGTTTGATCAGGCTGGATTAAAGTTTCATGATTCGGAGTTAATGTTGTTAGAGCCAAGGATAAATATTTTAGGAAGTAAATCAAGGGGTAGAACTCTGTATCGGACTAAAAGATCGTTGTCTACAAAAAGTGAACCATTAGAGAGAAGAATGAGTAGCTTTAAAGGGGTTTATAAAAGGTCTAGGGACAGAAAATACTGGTTTGGGAGCGTTTCGAATTTTATGCCTGAAAGAGAGGAAGACTTGGTCATTAAGGGAAAGATCTGACCTCAAGAGCTA